CTACGTCTAAAGAAACGACATTCAAACTACAGCAGAAATCATGCAGCCGAAAAAAATTCAAAACTGTATTGTGCAAATCCCCCCCCGCCGAGGGTCTTCCCCTCCTGAAATATATTTTTGAATGCCCTGAAGGACATGCTTTCTATGCAAGCTTTAGGATGATTTTCATTGGGTGTTGAGCAAACTACTGCATATATGACTTGACGCTCTGCATTCGTGAGTGTATCCGTACATATTTCTGTAAGTTTCATGCTATGCTTAACTGTGTAGGGAAAATCCCCACTACAGTGTAAACGACTCGAGAAAAGACGAAATAAAAAACGGATTTAATTAACTCAATGCACCAACAGCACTGCAACGGAAACTCTGCAGACCCCGCAGGTAAGCCACGCGCAGTACCGTATGGGTAAGCGCACGGGAGAACCACTGGGGTGCTTGCCCGTCCGCAAGCTTGTGCTAAGCCTATACACAGCAAGCTGTGCACAGAATAGAAAAGATGCAGCTGCATTGCAGAACTGTTGCAGCCACTGTTGGTCCACCGAAAGGTGAATTCTCGGCACTGAGTCGCCTCGTTGCCGATCCACCTTTACTGAGCTCCTAGGCCAATCCCAGAAGCGAACTGGACCGTTTTCCACATTACAGTGTTTGAAGAATTATGCAACATTGGTGTTCTGAAAAAATTCTGGGGTGTGTGGAGGAGCCGTTGTAGGGGACGAATATCAGTAGCACGCGCAACTGATGATAGCGCATCTATCATTGACTATAACTCGAAATATATAACGTATACAGGCCACTCTACTGAGCCAAATCAGCAAATTGGTCGCCGCAGCATGCAGAAAAGCAGGCTAGACGATAAGCACAATGCAAGCGTCCGCTAATTTGAAATACGCGGGCAGCAAGATAATATATTGAAGGAAAGGCAATTGCCTCACAATAGGGCAATTGCATGTGTGAATAAATGTGTTGGAAACGAGTTTATATCTTCTAGGTGACCCCACTGGCGAAGATCAGACTGCTTTCCATAGAGTGCCAAGTCAAAAAATGCCTGCTGCGAACCTCGAAGATCCTTGGCAGCAGCAGATACGCCTGCATCATTCCACCGTGCTTTTCCACTCCACTCCTGAATTTGTGATGAAGACAGTTGCCCAATGCCTCTTCTTACCTCTGCTCGTTTCACAGCTTGAGCCAAGATGCGAACCGGAAAAGGTACTTTTGTATCAGGCATGACAATGTTCTCGATGCGTTGCGCTTTGCTCTCACTTTTCCCGATCGTGGCCTGTTGTACAGATGCAAGAAACTTTTCAAATTCTTGAATTACTGCAGCGTTAGAAGCATCATACCGCATCTTCACCTCCACCGCACTGGCCAAGTCATCAGCCAGCACTGAGGTTACTCTCAGCCCCGAGTCACCTTCCTGTGCAACTCCGGTAAGCCCAAGTTTCTCTAGCCGTCTAATAAACTGCTGGAACGAAACAGTGTTTGCCTTATCTTCCTCTGTAAGTTGTAGTGGTGGGGATTCTGCATCCATAGAAAATATCGAAGGAATTCGGTGTTTCATTGCTAGCTCCTCAAGCCCACCCAACAGGTCTAGGCGCATCTCTGCAACGCGGAACACGGTGGCGACCAGGATACTTCGCAGTGCAAATTCCTGTCGTTCTGTTTTTCCAGCTGCCCAACCAGGAAGAGACTGGGATCTTATTGCTTCTAAACACTTGTCACGCCACAACCTGTTCTGTTTCTCGGTGAAAGTTTCAACGAATAACTTTGGAGAATAAAGTTTCATGTATGCGGCGCGGACTTCTGCAGAGGATGAATTCCATTTGCTTCGTAACCGCTTCGCATTCTTCTCCACCAACTCCACAGTTTCCCTTAGGCCTTTTTTATCTGTTGGTATTGTGTATGCAAGTTTTGGCGTTTCTCGTCTGGCAGCCAAGTACCGGCCCCGTGCAACGATGACAGACAGCACCAACGCAGCCAGTGCACTAAGAACAAAAAAAGCTACAAACTTTTTGTCCCACATTCCTGCTTTCTTAGCGGGTTCCTGTAGCTGCTGGGTTACCCCATGGGGGTCCCCAATACCCTCCTCGAGAACATCTTTCAATTCCGGGGGCCCTGAGGTACTTCGTGTCTGTGCAACGTCAACTGTCGAACCAGATTTCCCACGCCCGTCTAGTTCAAAATGACCTTTAGAATCTCCTTCATCCAAACTTTCCTGCGACTCCGCCATAGTGATAGGCAGGAACTGCACAGATGGGACGTGAATTACCTCCACAGGTGGCACCTGGGCCGCTGATACCCCCAGATAAATACCCCGGTGTACGGAACAGGGACAGTCTATACAAAGAATCAAAAGGCACCCCGAGGAAGGCAACGAGAGAAACAGCCAAAAAAACGATCATGCCGTGGGTATCCTTCAGTACGACGCAGGAAAGTGTGCGTGCGCTGGACCAATCGGGAAATAGATGCGAAGGCCAAGCCAATGAATGTTTGTCTAGGCACGCGATCTACCTGAAATTGTGTTAAATAAGGGGATCAACCCGATGGAACAAACAATTCAGAAAAAAAATCACCCTGAGCCGCAGACTAGCAGAATGCTCCTCCCCATACCTCCAGTAAAATTCCATGCAGGCGAACGGGGCTGCTAGATTCAATGAGCCTTCTCTGCTCTACGCCATAGATCCATGCCTTTGTGATTGAACCTATTGGGTGTTGAACTAATACTACTAAAAATCCTGCAAAAAAATTAATTATTATACTCCAAATATATCCATTTTATAATACTTGCAGCGCCGGGAAACAAGAAACCGCTAGTTTCACCCACGCCTCCCATGCTTCGTTACACCCACCGGGATCCCAGGCGCATTTAGAAATGTCTATACGTGAGTTGGCTACGGGAAGACACCTGAATGTCTAACAATTGTGAATGTTTTTAGTATATTTGCTCCAAGGGAGGCGTCTTTATGCCTGCATCATGGTTTGGGTTGCAGCACTGTTCTAGCCTGCTGCCTGCACTGTAGCGTGATCTGCCGGCAGTTAGCACATGAGCCTTCACTTGGCCTTGGTAGGTTGCATGTAAGCAAATACGGACACTGTATAAGTGTATTCAGAGGCAAACCATGCAGTAATGGAGGCCTGGTTAAAGTTTCCTTGTGTGCGCGCGTGAGGCTGGCATGCTTCACNTTCACCGGCCGCAGTGAGGTGCGCTCCAACCCCACTTCAGGCTGCCTCCTCTCCGCAACACCCAGGCCCTGAGCTCAACACCTAGGATGCCTGAGGACAGGGGAGGGAGTTTAGTTGCTTTGGGGAAACTCTTACTTTAAGTCTTAACCAAAAACAGAAACGAGCTGCCTAAAACCCTAAAACAGAAACGAGGTGCAACGCAAGTAAAGGCCGGAGGGCAACCGTTGTATGAAGTTGCACAGGAACATCCACTTGGCCTAGGAAGCTTCTACAGAGATAATGCACGATGCAAAGAAAGTTTTTTTGTGCTTGCCCGCGAGACAGTCGTGAAACACTAGTTGGAGCAAGGCGTGCTGCAACTTGTTTCCGGCTGTCTCCTCCCCTTTAACCCCAGCAATAGCTTCTATATGATTCGCTTACAGTAAGGATATCCCCTAGAGAGAGAGGTAGTCGGCGACCCGATGGGCTGCGGAGGGGAAGCTAAATGATGAAGCGGTTGAACTCGTTGGGATGAATCCGACCGAATGAAAACCCCACTTCCACAGCCATATCTGAGAAGGAAGAATGGGGGTTTCGAAAAGGCCCAAATTTTGCGCCGATGAGTATTGGGGCTGTGAGTGCCATACCAGCTCAGAAGGGGATAAGAAGCAGCAACCGATAGCACCTAGGGCAATTTCCCACCCAGAATGCCGGGAGAGCACACCGAGCGGCGTATTTACTGCGTTTGCAATAAACACAGTCTTAGAATTCAAGACTGAAGACGTATGAAAGAAGCTATGAAACTGGAGAAGCTGGAGTTCGGCCAGCGACGCCAGGCGGACAAACGAAACGATCAGGCAAATGGCCGGGCCCCCACACAACACGAGACACGTCGTGTCTCGCGTATTATCTCGTGGTGAACTAGTCCAGCAGTCCTTTACCCTCGTATTATACCCAAATTCGGTGTTGAAGTCATATTTTACTTCCATAGCTTTTGTGATTCTTGTTTCTTGCCTGCCGTCGAGGAACTTAGTCTCAAAAACTGCGCTCACGCCTAGACAGTTACGGTGCACTTTCTCGTCGTCGCAACCCGTACCAAGGAGATCTAACAACTCCTGAGCATTAAAATGAACTTTTGTAGGCGCAGAGTTGGCTGTAGGTGGATCTGCGAGTGCGCCTGTCTCCCCATGCAGCCCGATCACTATGTGACCCAGTGGAGGGCGCCCATGCGCCCCTTCGACGAAAGAATCAAAGCATGTAGCAGGTGTAATGAGAAAGTGCACCTCTCAACGTTTCCAACGATACTTGTATCGTCTATGATAAGAAGACTGGTATCGGTGTCCCAAGGAAAGAAGTGCGGGGACGCTTCTGGAGAGTGCAACGGCGCGCCAGGAAACGATGCACAAATGCACGCACTGCCTCGTGATGCTCCTACGATGACTGCCGAGCTGGGGGATTCGATCTAGTTAAAACCCAACGAAGAGCAGGATTGGGCGCAATTGATGGAAGGGCTCGCAGATGTAATAAATAACAAAGAGCTATCGGCCCCAAGCTGCACTCTCAATGCACCGCATCTAACTCATCCCTGGAGCAGCTCAAAGCTATACTAGAAGGTACCTGCGGCCCCTACATTTTGAAGTAGTCGAGAAAGTAGAGAAAAAACAGGACTTCTAAGAAAAGGCACGTATGAACTGTCAACTACTGCGGTGGAGACAATCTGGTGTTGTGCAAAGAGAAAGGGCAAACATTGACGCATGTGCATCATCCCTAAGTCAATCGAGAACATCATGGTGAAACAGAAATTTCTGATGTCCCAGAGTGACGAGCTTCCTGACAGACTGTACGGTTCAGCAGTATATTTATCATTAGTCTTCAACGACGCTTTTCTGCAGACCCCAATACATCCCGACGACAGGCATAAAACTGCGACAAGACTGCACAAGACTGCGTTTCATACCCGTTATGGCAGTTGGAAGCCAGCCCCGTACAACCGTAGCTTCCGATTTTCATACACTGCTCGAAGGTGAGCGGGAATGCATGAGAAGACCTCAGAAACGCCAGGCCAGAAACTATCGCAAACGGTGTTAAGCAGTTAGTGTCAAGCCAGTAGAAGTAGCTCTTGTGGATCCACATGCAATCCGAATCGCTAAGACGGGCGCTGATTATCACTTCCTCCCTGCCGTTGTCATTTTAGTTCAGTTTCTGCAGCCGAGGGGGTCACAGATTGCCTTTCCTGCGGGGGGGTAGCCGTGCTATGAACCAATTATATAACAGCCCCGGCTCATACTTCTCGACGTAGTGGTCTATCATCTTCTCTTGCTTATGTTTTCTCAGTTCTGCTGTAGCCAGTGCCCTTGCGCACCTGGTAATAAACCTGTATCGCAGCGCATCTCAGGGGGCTTTCATGGATATGAAGCGCATCGTGAATGCAGAGCCTTTGCTTCCGTCGCTGCGCGTTTTCTTCTAGTAAAAAAGAAGCCAATAGTATTTGAAGTGTTCCCCGTGCATTTTACAGGCGAAGAAATAAATCCAGGGAACCAACAATCTCTTCAATTGCTCCCGCATCGCAGTGTCCATAATATCTGGTTGCTCAGCCGAGGCGGAGCTATTATTCCCGAATTGTCATTGGTGGCAATGCACTTTGCACGCATGTGAGACCGAAGTAGAATGTGTTTCCTCCCGAAGAGGCTCCTCGCTGCGAGTCGCCTACCCGCCCGAAGGTGAATCATGGTCTTCCTCTACTGTGCAAGAGGCTAGGGCTGGAATTTTGAAGAAGATGTGAGTAAAATGTTTATTTTTAACGTGTATTTCTTGTTGTTCTTTTTGACTACCGCTAAACAGTAGGATGGACTGCTCGGGGTACTTGGAGAGGCTTCGCTGCCCGCGCCTGCCCCGGCGAGCGATGCTGCGTTACCAACAATATATGCAAGGTCCGCTACAAGCGGCAATGCACCTAAAAGGCTTACGGTAAGGGTTATTAAAAGCAGATGAACCCCCATCTCTTGTCTCCAGATGTCCTGCTTGCAGCAGCTCAGCGCCTAGCGTGCGCGAGAGGAGGCCACCAGAAATGAAAATGAGCTGTAGCGTACCTCGCAGCCACTAATGATGCAAGCCAGACTGACACGCAAGCACAACCACGCTTACTTTGTTGCATGCTTTATATGTGTAGACAAGTATTATTGAGCACCTGTTTTAGCTCTCACGTTGCCTACTAACACGAAGTGAATGTTCCTATGCTACCCGCGGAAAAAGAAAGCTGCGCATGCACTACACCACAAGCAAGCACTTGCAAACCCCTGTTGAATCCATGCACTAGCCATGCAGGCAGTTTTTCATGGCTTAGTTTGCCCTCAGGAGCCAAGCTGAACTTAAAGTAAGTAGCAGGGCAAGTACCAACATGAAACGATCGGCCAGGCCCCACAGGAAGGGGGGAAACCACGGGAATAACCGCGCTGTAGCTCTCTAGTTTTTATAAATATGTAAAAATAATTAATATTATTATGAAATTTCAGCTGTAGTTTCGGTAGAAACGGCTAAATAAAGTAGCACGCCCACAGCTCCACTGTAGTATTGCTCATACGCATGCGGCTCTCACTAGACGCATGTGGCAGCAATCTAGAAAGCTGGCGGCAGTGTTTCATCAAAACTGCTGTAGTATTCCATAGAGAGCGAATTTCTTTTTTTAATATTTGCAAAAGCCCATAGCATTCAAATTTATTTTCACTTTGTTGGTTTTTTTCGCTCTCGTTACCCAGCACGTTGCGGCGTGTCGATCGTGGGTTCCTCGATTCCTGTATTCTCTGGTGGCATCTGTTCTGTGTATCCCCGTGGGTGTTTGAGTATTTTCTTAATATTTTGTGTGTTTTTCCTCCAATAAGTTTTCATACTCCAGGGGCTCCCGCGCGGCCTTTGCCGCAGTGGTCTAGTGTGCTCGTGAGGGCAGTTCAGTTCAACTTGCACTGAAGAAAGCCACCTCTTTGAATCTGCACGGTACAGCCGCAGCAGGTTCCCCTCAAAACAGATAGTATGGTTCCTGGAGCTACAGGCGGTGTACGGGAGGAAAATGCA